CATGGGTCGCATCATCAACGTACCATTTAATTTGGCCTTCGATATATTTGTATGAATCTTGGGCCCCTGCCAGCTCTCTGTTAGCCTTTTCCAAAGCTTCGGCTGTCACCTTCTGGTGATCATTGGAAACATCCACCTTCTTAGTCAAGGAGGCAACCTCACACTGAGACTCATGTACCTCCCTCTTCAATGCCTTTATCTGGGCCAAGACAGACTCCAACTTGGCCGATTCTTCAAGTTTTTGGGCCCTGATACCTCAGCCTCGACTCTAGCTGCCTTCAGCTCTTCTGCAAGGGAGGCTGTCTTCCTCTCTGAGGCGGTGGTCCTTGTGTGGAAGTCAGTGAGGGCCTCTTTGCATTCCAGTGCAAGGCCAAAAGTCCTAACACTTTGGCTCACAAGAGCCCTTGTCAAGTTTGTGGCATCACAGGAAGAGGCGTGCAGCTGCCACTGATCCGTCTAGAATTTATAAAAACTCTCAGTAGCGCCTCCGATCTCAGGTGGCAGGGCCTTCACCAAAGCTGGGGCCAAAGGCTCTTCCCTTCTGGCAAGGAAGCTCGGAGACTTCCCTTGCACTCAAGCAAGCCTTTGTTTGGTAGCCTTTTCCTCAGCCACCTCAGTTTCTCTCCTTGCAGCCTCCTTCCTCGCCTCTTCAGCCTCGGCGCGCCTTACCATTTCAATCTTAACCGCTTTCGAGGCGATTTCCAGTAGCTTTGGCTGCCCGGCTTCTTTGCCTTCATGGGACATAGAAGTCCCAAACTTGCCAGACGAGCTGGAGACATACACCAGCTTTCTCTTCTTTGGCTCCTCAGGGACTTTCTCCTTCTCCCGAGGCTCCTTGGGCTTTTCTGGCCTCTGGGGAGTCCCCTCTTTGGAAGCCCACGAGGTACTATCATTGGAGAGACGTTCAACTCTACCTTGGACCTCCTTGGCGCCACTTGACCCCGGTTTCAGGGGCTTTGCCTTCACAGTGGAAGTTGCCCTCAGTATGGATGCTATGTCAAGAGTTGGGTACTCCTTCTTCTTAAACTTATCTTCAGAACATAGCGTGCCAGTACCAAAATGAAAACACAAAAATATACAAGTGTGGGAGCTTCATACCCCTGGAGGCCATCAGTTCGAAGTCGAGAAAATAGCTACTTCTGTCGATGAGGTGATCGAAGTGGCGAAGCTTCAGAGGTCTCTTGTAAATGTCATCTATCACTTCAAACTCCTCCCTGCTCAACTCGAACCTCGTACTGCTATCTGCAAACGAGGCCTCAACAATTAGAGAAAAATTAAAGTTGAAAACGGAATGCAAACTACTTAGGCTGGAAGACTCATGAGCTTCGTAGTACTGGGTCGGTACTGTATAAGACAGGGCTTTGTCTCCCTCCACCGCCTGCCACCTGTCCCTTACCCAGAACCACGACTCCTTCCACCCCTTTATGGAAGAAGGTAGTCCCACCACAAAAGGTGCATGGGCCCCCCAAGGAGTCAAGTAATACCACCCATTCGACTCCTTACCTATTACCCTAGGCTGGAATAGGGTCATGAAAACGTGGAGAGGCATGTTCTCCCCAAGCGATACTTCCTTCCACAGGAAGTACGAGCCAACCAACTGGCTCCACCCATTTGGCAGAACCTGGGTCGGCGACAACATGACATTCCTCAGCACAGCCCTGAAGAAGGGGTGTAGAGGAAGACGCATACCTGCCTTAAACAAGTATTCGCTCACCACCACGCACCCAGGCCTTGGATAACAGCTCCACATAATGAGGTACATAGTACCTCTCTCTTATCTCCCCCAACCTCTTCGACGTCATATTCAAAAGGACTCTAGACGCCCCCCACTCTACATTGTAATCTACTTCCTCCTCGGTCATAGCAATCTACTCAACCTTGGAGTCCCCCTGTAACTAGACCCCGACCAAACGACGCGACAGTCACCAACTCCCTACCCGAAGTTGACTCCATCTCAGAAAGCAACTAAGAACGCAATAAAAGGAGGATTTTCTATGAAAAATACCTACTGAAATACTACGCGACCAGAAAGTGCCGGAAAAAGCAGTGAACGGACAGCCAAAATGTCGAAATGTTTAAGTTCTAAGAGAGAAAATCAGATTGCAAGTGCTGAAAAATCCAGAAAAAGAGAGTTCTCTTGCCTTTTATAAAGGGCCAGGACGAACCCCCACCGTCAGATCGAATCTCATTCAATCTGAACCCTTCATTTTAAATCAAATCCGAGGCATAGAATTCAAACGGTTTTTCAAACCTATACCTCAGATTTAAGCATGTCTCCCATGCACCTCAGCCAACGCGTCTGCTTCTAGAAGCTCCAGCTATTCTAATAATTACGATTTTAATTCGATGGCAGCAGGCGCCTTGGAAGTTGCAACGGTTCAGCCACCTTTCCTCGAAAACATGCGCAAAACATCAAATCATTGGCACAACTGCCAAGGAACAATTATTATCGATGAATCTCGGCTTCATCTTCAACATTCAGCCATCAAGCCTCGCAGGTTCGGTTCTTCAACATTTAGCCATCAAGCTTCGCAGGATCGATTTTCCAACCACCTCGGCTTCATCTTCGACATTCAGCCATCAAGCCTCGCAGGTTTGGTTTTCCAACCACCTCGACTTCATCTTCAACATTCAGCCATCAAGCCTCGTAGGTTCGGTTTTCCAACCACCTCGGCTCATCTCCATCTTCCAGGTCTCGCAAGCCTCGCACATTCAGTTCATGCCACCACCTCGACTTGTTCATCATTCACCCGCAACAACACATTTCTAATTCCAACCATGATATAAATATCTATACTTGGACTTGGAGGACTATTATTTATGGTTCAAAAATTCTTTCAATTTTTACCCAATCCACTGGCTTTACTTTATTGAAATCCACGCATTACATAAATGACTCTACTTGGACTTGGGAGACTATTGTTACGTGTTATCATACTTGGCCAACCTATTTGGGCCTATGACCCACTCAATTCGAACCACGTGGCGCTCTAGTCGAGGTAGTTTGTATGGCCGAGGCCCATATGTCGAGGCCCGTGAAGATAGCCAAAGTCCTAAAGTGGAAGTACTACGTGAGTGGTAGAGCCTCGAATCCGAAGCCGAAGCCGAAGTAGAAGCCTCTGAATCATGAAGGAACGTCTTCTATGATCACTTCTCCCAAGAGATCTTTTACATAAAGATCTTGTTAGAATGATTGATAGAACGTTTGTCATAAGTATACATGTCAAGTCTTGTCATTAACGTGGAGGTTTTGCATAAGCAATAAATGCGCAGCAAGCTAGCAAGTCAAGGATGATGCCTAGGATTGGATGTTTGAATTAAAAAGATGATGCCACGTGTCACCTCATCTAATGGTTGTCATTTCATATGTACCACTATAAATACTTCCTTTGTGTAACATTGAAGGACTAATGCAAGAATCAATATAAGAAACCATACTTTACTCTCTCTTTCATATTGCTTTACAACATAATACGAGTTCATACATAGTTACATTCACATTCATGAGCACCGATTGGTAATTATTGTACAATCGGATTACGAACATCTTGTCGGATTTCGAACGTTCTTGTCCCGTGTCGTTGAGCTACTCCTATGCCCCTGATTCTTTCGTCCTAAGCCGTCCACGTGTCTTAGCATGTAGGACCTTCATTTATGCGTGCGCGGGTGGGTCCGGCATCTGTTGACAACATTTTTTGGGGTCAACACTATGAATAACTTGGCAAATGAATATCCTAAAGTATTGTCGGGATGAATCTTATCAACATCCAGGAATGAACCTTCGAATAAGAGGAAGTTGGTTGACAATTGATGAAAGAAAAGCTCATAATAATGCGGATTTGAAGGAAAGAAATTTAAGGGAATGAGTAAAAAGTAATGTGTATATAAAGGTAGAACGCGTGAGCACTGGACAATTGTTGCCTACCTATTGGATGCTGCTTGGTGTTGTTCATGGCCGATTCCGTGTTGTTGAGCTAAGTTTGATCTTCGTTCAGTTGGAAGCGATGCATGGGTCCAAATTGGCTAGCTAGATTTAGGTTATTGGAGTTGGGAGATTTCGGAATTTTATTCTTGGACGAGAGAGAGAGAGTTTAATTGAATACAAATTTTGGTTTTTTGATTTTTTTTTAATATGTATTTCAACTTACAAATAATCTACCTAAAGAGCACTTTTTTGATTTGACAGCCACAACCTGATGCATCAAGCCATGTACACAGTCATATTTGCATTCCGTCAAAATTTTAACGGCCCATGATGATAGTGACGAACGGGATTAAATTTTTGCAAAATTTAGTGATGAATTAGGTGCATTTTGAAGTTCACTAAACCCATGGAAAAACCTCTGACAAAGTTTAGTGACCATTTGGTTTATTATCCCCCATTTTGACAATTTTTTTAAACATTAATTTTACTCAGCAATAGAGCCTTGGAAATGCATTTAATTCCTGACCGGTATATATTTCATATTGATTTGGTTAATCATTAATTTTTATTAAAATCTCATCATGGATTTTTTTTTTAAAATTCTTTATTCATATCCAATTAAATTTATTAAAAACAGTTTTAATTACATTATTATGACATAATTAATTTAATATAAATCATATTATTTATATTCTTTGTTTAAATTATACACTTTTATAGGTAAGTGTCTTATCAAATTTAAAACTTCAACTATTTAAATGGATGCACACTCATCTTATGTAATGATTTATGGAATATGCATTTTTTTCTTTTTTGACTTGTATCTACTACCAAAAGTATTTTACGATAATAAAATGCATTTTCCCAATTAACTTTCTTGTAATCTACCGAAACTACTTTCTTCTAAATTAACACTTTTTAATCATATATTTATAGAATTCACAATTTTTATTAAATTTTAAACTTTATATTTTATCAACTTTTATTAAAATTTAATTTTTTACCAAAGTAAATCAAATCAAACCAGACCCAAAAAAAAAAAAAAAAAAAAAAAAAAAAGAGATGAGAGAATATATATATGAATAATGTAAAGGCGAGTGCGGTAGGGAAAAAGCTGAATCTCGTTTCCACACTTTTACTTTTCTTCTGTATCTGTGTATGATGAACCTTACAATTACGCCTATATATAATTACTGCTCATAATATACAATCCCCTAATCTTTCTCTTCCGTCCATCTCATCGGTCGCTAGAACCGTCTCTTTCTGAGTTCTTTACTTTCTTTGATGGCTTCACGGTCTCAAGCTATCCTTCTCCTACAAAAGCAGCTCAAAGGTATTGATTAATCAAGACCCATATTTTATTTTTTTTCTTGGATTATTTTTGGAAACTGAGTTTTATTACTTTTGGATTTTTCGTTAATTTTGGGTGTTAATATTTTTTCTTTGCAGATCTGTGTAAAAACCCAGTGGATGGATTTTCAGCGGGTTTGCTGGATGAAGAAAACCTGTTTGAATGGAGCGTGACAATTATTGGGCCTCCTGATACACTATAGTGAGCGTCTCTACTTATTTGCTTGATCAAATATTGGACTTCAGGAATTTATCTCATATATAACATATGTATCAATTAATGCAGTAATTGTAAAATCTGCTTAGATGTATGCTGATTTTGGTTTTTCCTGAGAAGGGTGTTCGTTTAAAATCCCCATTATTGCTAGATTTCGGGTTCAAGAAATTTAGGTGCTCGATTATCATCAATCCAATGTGGGAGTTTTTTGGATTCATCCTAGAAATTAATAAGGTATCTATAAGAGGACTTGGAGCTCGTTGGAATTTTGTCTAGTAATTGAGGACTAATGGATGAAGTTGTTTCTTGAGGAGTTTAAGAAACTAAAACTTAGAAATTTAATCCACATTGCAGAGTCCAATTTGGAGAGAACTTGTTTAGAGTCTGTTTGAGATTAAAACAAAATGGATCTTGCCGCCTCTTAAAATTGTTTTGTTTCTGAAGATTAGCTTTTTATTAGAATTAGCTTGAGCCTTGAGGCATGTTAAAATCCTCAATTAGTTAATCTATCCCATGATATGAAAGGGACAGTATTGTTTTACAAAGGCATTTATGTACAATATAACCAAAATAAATTGTTAAGGTTTCTTGCGTTGTAAAGACATTTAAGCAGTTGAGCAGTATTGAAATCTCAAAATTGAGCAAAAAGATGGAAAAGCAGAGTAATTGGAAAGCTCAGCATGATGTGCTATTAAAAATGATTGAATGAAATGACCTTTACAACAACCACTATTGTGTACATTGCTATAGGTGTAAAAATATCATATCTGTTTATTTCTATCCCTATTAGAAAGCTTCAGCTGAAAATAATGGTAGTAAGTATATTTATTAGATGCATTATACATATATGTGCAATTTATCTCTGATAACATGATTTGATCCTGTCTTATGTTTTTTCTTTGCAAGTGGCCAAGTATAAACAATAATAGTTGTAGACACATCTAAGAACACTTTGAAGAAAGTCTCTTTTCTTATTATGGTATTTGGATACATATATGAAACAACTACATTTTTTTTTTAAATCTAAATGTTTACCTTACGGGCTCGCATAGAATGAGAACTCTACAACCATGATCTTGCCGTGGTTTAAATTTGTCTTTTTGGGAATTACATAGCTTTATTCACTCTTTGAGCTCTATCCTTCTACGGTAGAAATGAAATCACACATGAACTAATACAAACATCTGATTATGTTTTACCTTCTCAAATCCACTCCAAAATGTATTATCTTCTTGTTGAAGTTAGGGTTCTTATTTGAGTGGTTCGATTTAATTTCACGAGCCATAACAAGGAGTCTTCAAGCATATTATAGATCCAATTTTAGGTTTTCATGCAGCTAAGATGAGGTAAGCCTTATTTTTGGGGTCGGGGTGTTATTCCATTTGTAAATTCAGTAGTTAATCCATGTTTTGATTACTGAGAGAGAGAAAGACTTATTAAATGGAATGCTGTCTCTTCCCTTATAATAACTTGAGAAGCATATTATGAAAGAAACGGCAGTCATGTTGACTTTTCATCTAGTTGCTTGTGTGGCAGAATGATTAGACTGTTTTGTTTTGAAGTTTAGATGATTCTGCTTATACAGTTACAGTAGTTCTATGGTTTTGAAAGATGCTTCATAATTTATCTTCTAATCGGTATTGTTTTAAAATCTCAAATGCAGTGAGGGTGGTTTCTTCAATGCTATTATGAGCTTTCCCCAAAATTACCCGAATAGTCCTCCAACAGTGAGATTTACCTCGGAGATGTGGCATCCTAATGGTTTATATTTTCACCTATAAGAATGCTTTGGTACCTTCATTAATGTTCTGTATTTTTTAGTGCATTTATTTGGAACTTAAACATGATATGCAGTTTATTCAGACGGGAAGGTTTGTATTTCTATTCTTCATCCTCCTGGCGACGATCCAAATGGCTATGAGCTTGCTAGCGAGCGATGGTCACCTGTCCATACGGTATGTTAGAAAATAATTCCTTCATCTTACATGTGGTGTACTATTTGGATCTCGTCAGCTATTAAAAATTTGTTAATTAGTAATCAAAGTGCCATTTTGGGTCGTAGGCATGTCTTACATTATTTCACCTTTAAAGATACTATGTGCAATTAACTTGGCTATTTTGCTTGGAAATAGTTATCACATTAAATTCAACAACTTTCTTTCATTTGAAATTAAGCGGATACTAAATATGTCATGAACTTTTTTCTTCTTTCAAATCCTTTAAGCATTAGCATTTCTCTTATAGCTTTGACGAGAAAGTTCTAAGAGACTAAAATCGGTTTTACGAAAATAATTTGGGAAAACTTAAAAGAATCAAGAATTATAGTGGTAGCCGCAAATGAAATAATGGAAAGAATCATTTATATAAGTTAATGGGTTTTCCAATAGATTAGTGAAATATGCAAGGAAACTTTTGTTTAATTTCACCATATGATGTTAACTATGAGGAATCTTATAATGCTGCATGTATTGTTGTGGTTTGGCATGAATTTTAGAATCTTATCGGGAGCTTTTGAGAAACCTATACACTTGGTACACTCATCTTGGAAGATGAGGATTGAGCTTTTCATAAGATATCTCGTCAAAAGATGAGTACAATTATAAATTATGCATATTGAGTATTAATTTATAATAGTTTTGCTTCATAGAAATGAGGTCTTAGAGATTGAGCTTCTTGGTAGTTTTTAAATTTTTTAAAATATAAATGTTTGTTATACTACATAGATCTTAAAAACGAGACCAAGTAAATAATGAAGGAAAAGAACATTAATTGAATGGAAGAATAGAAGTGTCTAGGTGAGGTTATTTGTGGGTAATGGAATTATCATGGAGACATTAATGGGTAATAAAATGCATGATGAATAGGGAAAGAATGTTCTAGGTTCTATCTCTAAGAAGAAGGGAGATATACCATGTTGAACAAACTATATAGGTCTTCATGATTACGAAGAAATTTTTTCAGGATAAGGTGATTCAACAAAGAATAATGACAAATAGAAGGTAGCGGAGAAATAGTATGGTTTTATGCTTGGAAGATCTACTTTGCAAGCCATCCACTGCTATGGAGATTGATGGGAAAGTATAGAGAACAGTATGACCTATATTGTCAAAATTGGACTGGACTGGATTGGTTGGTTCGGGAAAACTTGGAACTGTTTTGGAAGCCGGTTTGTTTACATGCTTAAAATCATTTATTTAGAAGTCGCAACGGGGAATCGGGCACGGTTTTGCCTGTTTTCTGGTCAGATTTTATATTGAAAAATGAAAAAAAATAATGTTGAAGAGTTGAGACTCAAATCTCACAGACTTGGGCTAACTGAGTGGATTTGGGCATCTTCTACATCGTCATCGACCTCTCTGGCTAATTTCTTCTTCCATAGTTTCTAGTGGTATGGTTATGCTTTTAGCATTCAGTTTTGTAGGTTTAATTCATATAGAGAAAATAATGTGTTTGTCATGAGTGAGAGGGAGGAGAATGAGGGAGAAACGAAGAGGGAGGAGGTGGTAGGGAATTGGGTATTGATTTACTAAGTGGGAGTTAAAATATAAAATACAGTGGGATTTAAATGCTATGTTTAAGAAGGCGTAATGGAGTATAGAGGCATATTTCCTTCATGAAGGGAGGCATAAGCCTCGATACGTTTTGAGGCTTCTAGTAAATCAAAAAAATTAAAAAAAAAATAAAAATATTAAAATGAAAACTAAGCTCATACTACATCATAATCAATATTTAAAATTCATAATTGAACAATTTAAAGTGTGCAAACAAACAGCAGAAAGCCCCTAAAGAAAATATTATTTAGTTAGTCAGATGGACTATTTCCAAAGGATCTGTGAGAAACATAATTTTTTTTAATACTTTAGAAGGCAGTGGGCAGGAACTGCCTTACAATCAGCACCATGAGGCCTTTTATGCATATCTCACTCTGAGGCAGCCTTAAGGAAGGTTTCGATTTTTTAAAACCATGGTTTAATGTAAAGCTGTAAACAAAAAGGTGTGGGGGGAGGGTAGTTGGAGGTATTAATTGCTCTGCCTATGTTTTTATGTGGGTACAAATATATTTTATTTTTGTAGCTATTTATTTTTAACAGTGGTTCGACCACGGTTCAAATGCTTGACCTTTTCTGCGTCGACATTCGGTTTGGTTTTGAAAATATAGAGTAGGTCTTTCTTAAGGTTTTTAATGATTGCCAAATAAAGCACATCATAAGGTTCTTAGGGAAGTGGTATGTGCTGCTGTTAAAAAAGAAACTCCTTACATAATTATTCTGACGGATAGTAAAAGACTCTGCCTGCTGTGAAGTTTCCTGCTCCTTCAATGCTATGTGATTTAGTTAGGTTAGCTTGATCACTTTTGGCATGAGTAAGAAATCACGGTTGATAATATAAAGGAGATGTTACTATGATTTTTTTTATTGCGATTGATTTGTATCTAAATTGTGCTTTACTCATTGATGTGATTACTAGACATAAACAAGATGAGGCCCTTTTCTCTATGTTATTTGCTGAGTTTTAATTCGTGCCGCTGATATAGTTCTAGTTCCTTTAGTCGTAGTGGGAACAATGATGGTGTGGTGTGGAGTCCAAATAGAGTAGTATGTTCCTTAAAGGTGATTGTTTAGGTTAATTCGTGCCGCTGATATAGTTCTAGTTCCTTTAGTCGTAGTGGGAACAACGATGGTGTGGTGTGGAGTCCAAATAGAGTAGTATGTTCCTTAAAGGTGATTGTTTAGGTCCTCCTGTTCGAGTATTTGTAAGAAGAATCAGTTGGAGGGATTGTAATTGTAATGTGTAAGATTATATTGCTTGTTAGATGAAACAAAAAAATTCTTTAAAAGACGAAAAGATTTTATTTTCTTGGACCTCTTAAAAGGAGTTTTGGATTTAGCACTGGTGATAAGTTTCTCTCTGTTATCAATGGTGATGGCACCGATAAATTTGTAAGTAAAGTGAAGGAAGGGGAACTTTCCTGTAGACGTGTATTTGGTAATGATTCAGCTTGTCAGAAGCGCCTTTCAAAACATTTGGTCAGGATTTTAAAAATAATCATATCACATGGGCTTGGTTTAGGGATGATGTTTGTTCTTCTAGATAAGCTTCATTTCTTGAAGGAGTGATTATTTGTGTCTTTTGTCAGTGATTCTGGGGCACCTTTTCTTATTATTCCTGCTGTATCATTGTCAACTGACACTGGTTAGTTTTGTAGGAGTTTGTATCACAATGTAGTACTTCCCTTTTTAACGTTGACTCTGCATCTATAGAATATAAGTTGATCGGAAGAATTTTAATTTCAGGTGGAAAGTATAGTTCTAAGCATCATATCAATGCTTTCAAGTCCTAATGATGAATCTCCTGCGAACGTCGAAGCCGCTGTAAGTTTCAATGCATCTGATGCTTGCTCTATGAAATATCAACGTTGGCGGAATACAATTTTTATTTTTATGTTTTTGAAGAATCTTAAGAAACTCCAGAATAAGAATTGCAACTTTTAAAATATTCAGAGATGATATCAAAAAAAAAAAAAGGTTCAGAGATGTTGGTTTCTCTTGGAAGTAATTGTGGTCGTCTTACCACTTGTTTGGCATGTGTTTAAATTATAATCACTGTTGATCAAACCTACTTTTTATTCACACATTTCATGATACTCACAACTACTACCCACTTATTCACCCTCCATTTCAATCTATTTATAAATAAACCGATTATAATCAACTCCCAGACATGCTTTTAGTCTCTACTCTCTTTAAAATGGACTTCTTTTTGAGAAATAACGTTATCTGGTTTGGTCTAGAGTTTGAACTATTAACTTCTTTTTATTGATGCACGTTGAATCTGAATTCAACTTCAAGGCAAGCTCACGAAACATACCTCATCTCATGACCATAGGAGTTCCTTTTTGTGATATTTGGAGATTCAGGGCCTTTTCCGTGTTTATTTTTATCGTGTGGTTTCACAATCCAGTGTAGGCCTCTTTCGTGTTTAGTCAATAGCTTCTCTCTCTCGGAGCTTTTTTTTTTATATTTTATTTTTGACAGGTTGACATGCACATTTTCTTCCACTAGTGTTAAGATCTGTGAAATGAAATTTTATCCTGTCAAGTAACTAAAATGGAAGTACTCTGTCATTGTATGGATGTGCATTAGAGTTCATTCCTCCTTTCAGACCTACTTCATAAGAGGATCACTGATTTCCTGTCTTCTGATTGGTGATTGCAGAAGGAATGGAGAGAACAAAGGGAAAACTTCAAGAAAAAAGTGAGTCGATGTGTAAGACGGTCGCAAGAAATAATGTAAACTTTTGCCCCCAATGCTGCTCAGTTATTTTGCTAAAAAACACATGAACTTAAGAATTTGTTTCCTTTTTTTGGGTACCAAATGGTACAAACATGAAATTCTCCAATGACAATAACTCAAGTTTTCTCAGTGCTTCGGCACATCTTTTGGCACATAATGATATACTAGCTCAGCTGGGGATTTGTTTCGACTAACTGGCTGATGTTTGCCTGTTAAATCTGTATTTATCAATTTTCATTAGTAAAACCCTTTCGACTTCATGTACTATATGAATTAAGAAGCTAGAAACTAGCTTTATAAATTGTTCAGTTTTGTCCAATTTTATGTATCAAACACATGCTTACTCTATTATTTTCACTTTGCTAAATAGCTTAATGGTATCGGGATAGAGGTCTCAAAAAGCAAGTCGTCTACAGTTTATAGTGAGTGATCTCTACAGTTTTTCTTTTCGAAAAATTAACTTGATCATCATAATGGGTTGGATTGGGTCGGTTTTTGTCCCAACCCAATATGGTTGGTTTGATTGATACTCAACTCAATCCAACCCATGTAAAGATTGAAATCCAACTCAATCCAATCCAACTAAATGTCAGTCGGATTGGGTTGGGTTGGTTAGGTTCCGGACAACTTGTTAATAAATATTAAAGTCTCCAAAATATTAAATTTAAAGCAACATTAATATAGTCTTCCAACATCAATAAATTTCAAATATAAAATAGTATAGTCCATCAAATATCCATCAAAATAATTATTTAATAACAATTACATATTTAATACAAAGTTATGATACTGAAGCAAAAAATTATTGGCACTTGGCACAAGCAAAAATCTGCTGGCAGAAACTGTTGGAGGTTGCCAAAGAAGAACTAAATTGGAGACAACAAGCACACACATAAACTTAAACATATGCAAACATGAATCATCTTAGTACATCATAACCAAGTCTAAGACTAAAAAGGAACAAGGACAAGTTAACAACCAAAAACCCAAAAAAACTGAAAAATCTTGTGGTGAAATAAAAAAGAATAAAATTGCAGAATAAAGAACCGTACCAGTTGATAACCTCCATCTCCATAATCTGCTGATCAACAGAATCAAGCCCGGAATAAAAAAAAAAACACCGCACTCACCTTTTTCCTACAAGATTCCTTCAATTTCTTGGAGGTGTATCCTAAG